ATAAAAAAAAAAACTATTTTTCAAGACATGTATACAAATGTATTTTTTCAAATTAAACTCCATTAAATTTAATCTCTAATAAAATTAAAATCCAACAATTTCAAATGGAATATAACGAGTGATAATCTTTATTCGACCTCAAGGATTTATACATTAGTGCCATAGTGATTCTTATTTTTTGTTAGGCTTACAACCTTTTTTCCTTATAAAGCCTTGATCTCGTAGGGCATCCTCTATCTTACTAGTATTTAATCATTCATTGTTTTTAGGATCTCTGTCAATGGATTAAGCTTCTACCATTTTTATTTTATGTCTCTGTCCTAACCTGGCAGGTTGCCAGAATAAATAAGTTCAAAAATTTTCATTTGGTTGCCATAACTGAAATGGTTTGGTAAAATTCGATCAAAGCTTAGAACCATACTATAATTAAAGTTGAACAAAATTGTTTAAATGGCAGAACTCAGAAGACACATGGGCAAAGGTCATCTCAGAAGTCATAACATTGGCTGTGGTTGCGGGCCCATGGTGGGCCATCTCTTCTATTCTTCAAATCTGTAGTACTGAAATCCCTTTTCCTCATTCACAGAACCAGCACTCCCGAAGGCAAGAGGAGAGGCTCGGGGCCTCAACAAATGAGCCCTTTGTTTTAGGGTTTTACTGAAATATTCACCTGGGCTCGCTGCAGCAGGTGGTTCTCACTTTTGAGAGCCCAAGACCAATTGGCAAGAGGCCCATTTATGAGTGAATCTGCAACGCAGCTTGTGAGGGTTTTCACTTTTCAGACAACGGCTGAGAAACGCAGGAAGACAGAAATGAACTCATCTGAATCCAAAAAATTAACTTTCTGATAAAGTTATTTTAGGTAATTTCTTTGAAGCAGCTCAATCAATGCAGAACCCTCCCAAACAGACCACCGGCCATCATGGACAAATATCAACTGATCCTGAAGATGCTAGTTGAGGATGATGCCAAAGACAACTTTCTTGGGTCAAAGTCAAGGTTTACCACTTCCTTCGGCACGGCAGCTCACACCTTCACTTCTTGGAAGTTTAACAAAAAGTGCGAGACCGTGAGTCCAGCCGGAAGTCGGAACCATTGAGTTGAGTTTAAGCCCACTCACGCCCTTTCAACTTTAAAATGCGTCCAATCCCCACGCCTAAAGAAGAAGTAGAAAGGAAGCGGCTTGACGCTGCTGCTTAATGGGTGGGCCTGGATTAAAATAACCAACTAGAAGCCGAATTGTTATCAGAAAACAAAAAAGATACCAACTCAAATTAACCAACCCGGACCAACCAGTCGGACCCAGTTTAGTAGACTAATAAATTAAGGTGATTAAGACTATGTCTGGTTCATAGACGTTTATTGAAAAAACACCATGACATCAGTGTCACATAGGTGTTGGCATTTATGGCATATGAAATTATTGTTTGGTTTGGTTGTATATCAAATAATCTTTAAAAAATTGAAATGCTTTGATTTATGTGCAATACGATATTTGGGAAAATGTCAAATTTTCATTTTCTTTAACATTTGGGCATTTCATGAAATAAAATACTGATGTGGTGCGCATTAAGCTGAGGTGAAAAACAACTTTATGAGGTGTTACTTAAAACACCCATAAAATGCCCAACTAAATAAAAAAAACAAAAAATATTTGAAACAGTATTTTTTTAGATAAACATTTATTCATTGTTTTGCTGTTGTGGTGCCTAATGGTGCCTAAGTGGCAATAAACGGATTCATTATTGTTTTTCTCAATTTTGCAAACAAATCAAATACAAACATTTAATAAATAAATGCCCACAGTTCCAAACACATACATAGTATTAGAGATATGCTAAATATATTTCTTGAAAAAAAATCTATATTTTTTTATTTCTTTACATTTTTATCTATTTATCATATTTTAATTATTTGATTTATGATATCATGGATTGATCTATTTGATTCCACTAAAACACTGTGGGAAACTATATTGGAACAGCTTAATTAGATAATTGGAGATTGTGATTTTTGTTTTTTTTTTTTTTGTGGATACACTTTATCATAAAGAGTTCAACTAGAATAGAAAAGGAAAAATCTATGATGCCAAAAAGGCATGATACTAGAAAGGTTTTAACCAATCAACCCACCCATGCCCCCTGATCAATTTTAATGAAACCCACCTGATTGGTTATCCCTTTTATGATGTCAATTGATTGGTTATAAGTTTTTTTTCCTAATATTATGTTGATCCGACATCATAATAGAATACAATAGTAAAAAGGCCGAAACCTAAAAAACTAAAATAAACTGAAATCATAAAAGAAGTTATAACTGATAACCAATCAATAATCATAAAAGTGGTAACCAATTGGAATGCTATATTGAATGTAAATTAAGGTTAAATCAAGTTGATGCCTTTATGAAACATGCTTAGCTTCATATGATCCTATTTAGACCTGGTTTTCAAATATAATTTTGACTTCATTTGGCTACAAGCTAAACATTAGAAAACAAATGATTTCTTAGAAAATGATATCCCTTCTATAATTAACTTTCTATATCTGGCAACAACTAAATATTGTTTTGAATTCCATATATACCGGCAATGGAGATTATATGGAATTATTTTGCTGAATCGATTTCACATCGAATTGAATGGGCATACTCTCAATCTTTTATTTGTATGTAATTTGATTCAATCGTTTAACACTTAATATATATTCCTTTCTTTGTTGTTATAACTTTCACCTTTGTTTGACTGTTTTATTCTTTTCTTTCTTTTGATGACATTGTTATCTGATTCAATTTTCTTTAACTCATACGGAAATGGGATCAAGAAAAGATTTAGTATCACAATAAAAAAACAAAATTCAAAGTTTAGTCATGCATGATAGGAACTGGCTGATATATATATATATATATATATANTGATATATATATATATATATATATATATATATATATATATATATATATATATATATATTCTTTGACATGTATTTTCATAATTATTTAACTATGATGTCATGATTTGATCCATTTTAATTTAACTGCTTGAATTATTTGTCCAACACCTAGTGGAAGAATGGTTTCTTTTTGGGTTGGTTAAAAAAAAGAGAGCGAATTAGCAGACAGCCTAAACTCTAGTATTTGTATTTTAGGTTGTGGGACCTAATCATTACACCCCAAACCAACCATAAGTTGTGGGTCATATGCACCTTATGGCTGATGTGGATCATATACGTATATAATTTTGGGAGTTAGAGGAGTCTTAGAAAGTGCACTCCAAGTGATACTTTACATTTTAGTTCAAGTTTTACGGGGGCCAAGGATCCAAATTACGTTTTTGACCCTACCTTCACTAAGTAACCATGTAAAGAATGGTTTTAACAAAAAAAATTCTTTTTTTTTGGTGGTGGAGGTGGGCGGGGGGTGTAAACGAATCAAATTTGAATCGAATTAGGCAATATCCGAATTCGAATCCGATTAGAAAATCTGATACCCGAATTCGATTCAATATCCAATAGATATAGAAAATTAATATTTGAATATTCAATTCGATTTGATTCGAATTCGACCAATTAATTATTTTAGGTAATTAATAAATATATAAAATAAATATTTTATTTATATAAAGTATATAAATTATTTTATATATAAATTTACAAAACATTTAAATATTTTATATATTATATATAAGAATTAAATAATCGATTGAATTCGGATATTTATTGAATTAAATCAGGTCATATCCGAATTCGACCGATTAGATATTCAAATTATCTGAATTTGATTCGATTGTTTCGAATCTCGAATTCAAAATCGGATTTTCGAATACAATTGACACCCCTAGGGGGGCAAGGATCCCCCACCAATATACTTGGCTCCCCCTACCCACAGCCCAAGCACATATGATATGTTCTTATATATTGTTAAATGTATTAGAAATAGATATAATTGGTAGTATTTATTGATGAAAAAAAATACTTTTAGCATAATATTTAATGAGAAAAAAATAGGTATTTATAACTTATATATAAAACTTAATGAGAAAATTAAATGAACTAAAAAATAATAATATTTGTATTAGAAAACCCCACGAACTCATCTGTACTTTTAATTAAAAACTTTTAACTTATAAATTTAATATGATCCATAAGATCGGAATTCGATATGAGATTAGCCCCAGTTCTGGATGAAAGAGAAATTCGGCAAAGACCAAGTCTAACCCCAATGAGAATTGAATTGGGCTTCAGTCAGTGCAAAGCTCATTTATACAGCGTTTAGAGTCTTAGATTGGGAACATTTCCATATTTATGTGTTTTATTTCATAGGAACATAAACTATTTGCCAACTGATGATGTCTCAGTTGGTAGGTTCTTGACTTGTCAGAGTAGAGACTTGGGATTAAATCCCGCTGCCACCAAGGGTTGGGGGGGTAATATGGGCTACCCCTGTTATGTAGCCCCATGAAACCAACAAAAAAACTTACTATTCGAAAGGTGTGAGCATGGGCTTGCACTGACCGAAGCCAGCGTTCAGTCAGCCAAGACAAGAGGACCCACCGATACAATTCCTAACCCCGATCAGACGGGTAACAATTTATTACCCGATCACCATGCACCCCACAATCGCCATTGGTGCGCTCGAAAATCTACGGTCAAAGCTAGAGAGTATGCACCAAGTCCACCCAATCCCAATGGGTCTTTCTCATTTTTGCTCTTTATTCAAGAGTGGAGACTTTCTTTTTTTTGGTAATACAGGAGTGGAGACTTGGGGGCGGTGATCCAAGGCATCTCCTACCCGACCCGGCCCACATGCTCAGTCCGGTCCACTTACAATTTCTGGTTCTCAGACGCGGCTCAAAGTCAAAGTCCTCCACTCAGCCCTTCCTTCTCCCCTCGTCTTGCTCCACGAATCATATTGATTTCCTTTAGTTTTCGGCATCATTTTCAGACTTTTATATAGACGCAGTTTTCCGCGCTCTCCTTAATACACAACAATCACCTCTCTCTCTCTCTCTCTCTCTCTGTGGGTGTAATGTAAAACAGGCAGCAAGTGCAGTCGACCAGAGTCGGTCTTTCCGGAATCAATTCTCTGGGTCTTTCGATTTTAACGTCGCACCACTGCCCTACTGTTTCCTTCCCGGCGACTTGACTTGAGCTATCCCAGGACGTACGGTAGTGGCAAGGAGAGGCAGACAAATAGATAGGTTTGTAAAGGATGGCCGGAGACGGAGGTGGTCGTTCTTTGGAGGAGACGCCGACATGGGCAGTTGCCACTGTCTGTTTCGTGCTGGTTGCCATTTCGATTATAATTGAACACATCATTCACCTCATTGGAAAGGTAAAATAAAAAGTCGAAGGACTTACAGCTGGAATTCTCCAAAACAAAACCAAACGAGAATCGATCGGTAGAATAATATTATTAACTCTTCCTCTTCTTTGCAGTGGTTAACAAAAAGACACAAGCGAGCTCTATATGAATCACTCGAAAAGATTAAATCCGGTAGGGCATCTTCTTATATATGCTTCATGAACACGTAATTCTTGTTTAAATTGAACTTAATCTGACAATGATTGTTTTGCTTCTGAAGAGCTTATGTTACTGGGATTCATATCCTTGCTCCTCACGGTAGGACAAGGACTCATCTCGGAGATTTGCATACCAAAGTCGGTAGGAAATAGCTGGCACCCATGTAATAAGAAAGAAGAGGCAAAATTAGATGCGGAGAAAGAAAGCGATGACCCGGAGGAGCACCACCGGAGACTTCTCATGATTGCAGACTCCGGTGGGAGCTTCCGCCGTGTCTTAGCCGCAGGAGGAACTGACAAATGTGCAGCCAAGGTGTGACTCACTCCTTTCATCTTTAATTTCCATATATTTGGTGCTTCGTCAACATTCAACAAAACAATCATATAAAATTCGTAATATATATATATATATATATATAATTTAATTGATCATGTAGTAATGAAAAGTTAAATTGGAGTTGTGTCCAAAACTCTGGTATGTTTTGAGCTCATATGCATGCATGCACGGCTTTTGGTTTTTTGCAGGGAAAAGTACCATTTGTGTCGTCAGAGGGTATCCACCAACTTCACATTTTCATCTTCGTTCTGGCTGTTTTTCATGTGCTCTATTGCATCATCACCATGGCTTTGGGTAGACTCAAGGTCAGCCCTATTCAATCACATTCATGGTTGAGGGACCAAAAATCAAAAAAATAGAAAAGGAAACATTGACCAAAGTGTTGTTTGGATGGGCAGATGAGAAGATGGAAAGCGTGGGAAAGGGAAACCAAGACGATTGAATATCAGTTCTCTCATGGTAATTAAGTAGATGATCTGATCCTTAATTTAATCCTGTTTGTCCTAATTAATTAATGCTCTATAATCATCGTGTGATAAAGCTGGGTTTTTTCCTATGTTGTTTGTTGGTGTGGCACTGTGGCAGACCCGGAGAGGTTCAGATTCGCACGGGAAACATCCTTCGGGCGAAGGCATCTGAGTTTCTGGAGCAAGACCCCGGCTCTCCTCTGGATCGTAAAAAAACAACAAATCCCTGATTTAATTAATTTTCATCTTAAATTTCAGAAAATTCTTTTTTGTATTAATAATTAATATTTGGCATCCACACTATTAGGAGTTTCTATTATGCTCCTTCATGTAAATTGGAAACGAACATCCCTGAAGTCTGAACAGGTTTTTAATTTCTTTACCAGATTAAAATAGAAACGGAATTGATCTCTCTTTAATTATTTTTTTTTTTAAGGGTAGTAGTCTAGCTAGCTAGTAGAGTGGGGGAGAAGTATCTAGTGAAGGGAGGATCCATCATCAATTGAATTAACCAGGGTGATTATGGGCTAAGAATTCGACTAATGACCCAAGATGATTATGGATCAGGCCAACCCAAGAACTTTGTATAAAAGCCTTTACCCAACCCAATCTCACATGAATTGGACCTAAAATGTTAATCCAGCCCGGCTTTTACAGGGTCCCCGACTGGGCTTCCAGTCAGTCTCTTCAGGCCTTGACATTAACAAGCTTAGTCAGTGTGACGGGACAAATAAAAGAACCAAGACCTTTTCAAGTAGATATTATTGACGTGGTAGCACATTAATAATAATTATAAAATAAACTCGCCACTCCCCATCTATTGGTTATTTAGGGTCATAAGTCTTGAGACAGGAAGGATGACGCAAGTAGGTAGGTAGGCTGACAAGTCGAAAACGGAGGTAACGGTCTGTTTTGCCTTTTAAATGAGTAACGGTCAATTTAATTAACAGGAGGGATGAGGGATGACGCAAGTAGAAATCAAATGGATTTTGAAAACAAAATTGGCTATTGTTTGTAATGTAAAACCAACCCCTCAAAGTTAACATTAATATAACGCCCAACAAAGAAAACATCAATTTTTCAGGACTGATTTGGGCATATATAAAATATGCACCCCTTTTTCAAAAGATGGGATCCGCCCAAATCATTCTTTAATTCAGCTCCCCAATTCTCAAGATTATTATATATTATTGGGTTATGTGGTTAATAAATCAACTTTGTTATTTGCAGGTTTGTTTCTTCAGGCAATTTGTCAGATCAGTTCCAAAGGTTGACTACTTGACCCTGAGACATGGCTTCATTACGGTAATTAAGCTGGATTTTTATCATATAACTATACATAACAAAATGCAATCCATATATGAATTAATAGAAATTTTGTTATACATCCATTCATTAAACCAGCTCCTTTGTTGTTCCGTGGGTATTTCAGGCACATTTGGCCCCTCAAAGTCACACCCAATTTGACTTTCAGAAGTACATTAACAGATCTCTTGAAGAAGATTTCAAGGTTGTAGTCGGTATAAGGTAAAGAATCACTCAACCTAAAGCTTAAGCTGTTATATGAGGTGGTTCCTCGATATGCTTTTATTCTACTTCATCTCCTCACGCAAAAGTCCATCGGGCTTGAAGTGAGAGCAAGCATAGTTTGTCCTGAAATTTAATTAATTATAATGGGAGAACAAGAATTTAACACTAAACCATTTGGTTAAACACCTTTTGATACTATCTCAAAGAATCCTTCAACCTAAATCTTAAGCTGTCATCACATCTCTCTCTCTCTCTATCTATCTGACATGGAAACTAACTTTTTTGACATTTTGTGTCTGAATGTGTATAGCCCGACAGTTTGGTTCTTCGCGGTGCTGTTCTTATTATTAAACACACATGGTAAGGAAATTAGACCATTATTAAGTTGTAGATTGCTGGTTCCAATTCATATGAATTTGCCCAAAGACTATTAATGAATGTTGTGTGCAGACTGGCATTCTTATCTATGGCTACCCTTCCTTCCTTTGATTGTAAGTCTCATTTTCTGCGCATCGACTCCCCAAATCCGTCGTGATCAGTAGGTTGTAGGTGATAGATGATGCATATTGATCGTTGACTGGGCCTTTAATTTGCAGATCATTCTGCTGCTGGGAACAAAGCTACAGGTGGTCATAACAAAGATGGGGCTCAGAATTCAGGAGAGAGGAGAGGTGGTCAAAGGTGTCCCAGTGGTTGAACCGGGCGATGACCTCTTCTGGTTCAATCGCCCCCGCCTCATTCTCTATCTCATCCACTTCGTTCTTTTTCAGGTGCTCTCTTCTCTCTCTCCTCCAGGCATGTTCTTCCATTCCATGTGCTTATTGTTTTCTTTGCTGACTTTTAATTGTTTTCTGGTTACGTACGCCTTTGCAGAATGCCTTCCAGCTGGCTTTCCTCGTATGGACTTGGGTAAGCCATCTGACTTGATCCAATTCACTTGTTTTACTCCTTCAACACACCATCTTAAATCTTATTAACCCTCTATTTGCTTTCTGTTTCAGTATGAATTTGGGCGCAAGTCTTGCTTTCATGAGCACACAGAAGACCTGGTTATCAGAATCTCAATGGGGTAAGCTTTTAATAAGACTTAATTAAGATGGGGATGCTTCACCTTCTCTCATTTTATACATCATTGCATTTTTTTCCTTAAGCGGCTTGGAACCTCCTCAAATATTAAACTGAGCCTTTTACAGCCCAAGCATTGGCCAGCCCCATTTAAGTTTGGGTTCACCCGAGCACAGATCCAGACCTAGGTCCAGTGCGTGATAAGTCGGACTGACCACAATCTTGTACAAATTCAATTCGGGCTTCAACCTGGCCCAATCCCCAAACTTTTTTTCTCAGGCTAGGTCCAGGTCTGCCTAGGCCTGGCCCGATGCTAACCCCTATTTGAGTATTCGTGTCGTGCAATTGGGCAACTTAGTGGTGTAATGTGGGCCGGTATGGCCCACTTTTTCGGGCTGCCCATACTGTAGCGGACCAAGACCATGCCTATCTGGCCAAGAATCTCTCGAAAGGGAGCCAGTCAGCCAGGCATATCCCGTGGTGTGAGGAAAAGATCCGTTCTCAACCATAACCATATCCCTTAGGTATTGTTTTGTTAATGAATTTATTTACAACAAAAAAAAAAAAAACAAAGAAAGAAAGAAAGAAAGAAAATCTAATAGTATGAAACTGGTGATGATGAATGGACAGGGTACTGGTACAGATCCTCTGTAGCTATGTCACTCTCCCTCTCTACGCCTTGGTAACACAGGTCAGTTGTTAATTTGATTTCCTGATCAGTTTAGAATTCTAAATCCTCTACCGCAATATATATGAATAAATATTGGGAACAGATGGGTTCGAGTATGAGGCCTACCATATTCAACGAAAGAGTGGCCACAGCACTACGAAATTGGCACCACAGAGCGAGGAAGCACCTAAAACAGAACGGCCACGGGCGGTCAGGATCGGTGACACCCATTTCCAGTAGGCCAACAACCCCTAGGCATGGCTTTTCCCCGGTTCATCTGTTGCTTAACACCCATCGCAGTGATCATGCCGACAGCATTCATACGTCTCCTAGATTCTCAAACTTGGACAATGAGCAACGGGAGGGTGAAGGGACGCCCTCCCCCTCGTCGTATCACCACCACCACCATGAACGTTGGTTGGGAGGACAGGACAGGGAAGCCCATGAGGCTGAGGCCACCACTCCACCTACGGCTCCTCCTGTACATACTCAACATGTAATTGAAATGAGCTCTGCCGACTTCTCTTTCGTCAAGAGTTGATGATGTGCATACAACGGTGGGAGGTGAGCACTTTGGAGGAGACTATTCGGAAATTCAAACCAACGCCTTTCGGATGAATGGTGTGCATCTTTATTCTTTCAGGAATTTTGCCACAAAATGGACACACAAATCTTAATTTCTTTTTACCATGTATCAACGATGATTATTTTCGTTTGTACTTCACTTACTAATGCTTATTTTGTATACACCGATCTCTGGGAATCTCCACAATATTGAATACAAATTCCACTTACGAGTTACGCCTCCTTAGTTTGTTTGTAGTGCAATTTTATTTTCATTGGCGCAAATTAATTTGAAGGCTCTAAACGGAAAACATTGGCCTTGGCATTCTACTTTAATACAGCTGCATACATTTGACTGAATATTATATCAATACCAGGACCAGGCCCAACTCATTGATAGAAATAACCCAAGGATGGCCACTGTAGATGTTATGCATGTGCTAAGGCGGTAAGGCCCACACCCACATCCACATGTGCATTAACATTATTATCAATACAATAAGAATTAAGAAAAGATTAGATGAGTATGATCACAGAGTTGACTTGATCCCAAATTATTATGTGTAGGCACTAGCAAGGTTTTGGGTATGGTAGATGTGAAAAACAAAACAGATCAATTTAAATTATGGGCCATAACTAATGGCGTCCCTAGATTCAAATCTAAGGGTAATTTGAATAGTATCTACAGACTTTCCGGTAGAGCGATATGTACGAAGAAGCGGATTAAACATTTATTACACACTACGAACTACCCAAGAAAGAGATCCTTGTCTCGCGTTACACAGTACCATCTCTCTCTCTCTCTCTCTCGGGTGTTTGAGTTGTCGGATCTTCTTCGGCGACAACAACAGCCGCAACAGGAACAAACAGTAATGGCCAGAGGTGCATCACAGTCTCAGGCTTCGTCTTCAACGTCTGGTCGGCCGGGTGTCGTCGGCATAGCGCCGCGCGGATCTGCCGCAGCGGCAGCAGGGATGCGGCGCCGGAGAGTTGGAGCCAGCGGTGGAGGCGGATCCGGCGGGTTTGGCGGTGGCGGGAGCGGAAGCAACATGTTGAGGTTCTACACCGACGATGCCCCTGGCTTGAAGATCACTCCTACTGTCGTCCTCGTTATGAGCCTCTGCTTCATCGGCTTCGTTACTGCTCTCCACGTCTTCGGTAAGCTCTACCGCTACAGATCTGGTGGCGGAGCTTGATTCAAGAGTCGACTCTCTGATCTTATCCATCTTAAACAGATGCAATTAGGTCTCAATTGGTCATCGGATCGCACGTATTTTGCACTGTAAATTTCCTCCATGTTTCAAACTTATTTCCTTAGTCTGGTCTTTAGTTTATAGGTCTCTTCTATATAGTGCTTTTGTTTGCCCTTGATGTTCTTCTAAACGAGACGGAGAGTTCTGCTTTGCTGATTTGGCAATCGTTGATTGAATGATGGAGGCACATATGGCTGAACCCTTTCAATCGCGTCTGTCGATCGATTTGGTTTTATTTGTTGTATTTCCCCTGAGCTAATGACCTCTTGAGATCGGAAAACTTAGTCGTAATTAACCTCTTTAGTAGGTTATCGCCGTTTTTCTTTTGTGACCTGTTCTTGCCTGAGAAGGTTTCTGTAGTACTTGGTTTATTTGCAGTGCACTTTCATTTGCACTGATGCAAAAGTTTGATAGTGCAAATGAGTTGAGAGAAAATTATGATGTACTTTTGTTTCAGGTTTGTACATTGTGTTATTTGTTTGCATTGCAAATGAAGTAGAGCACTAGAGCCTGAAGCAAAGCAAAGTGAAACCTGGAGCTAAAAATAACCAGAACTTGCACTCTTCTCATTTGCATTCCCATCCATTTCTACTAGTGCAAATGAACTTCCAGTGCAAACAAATGGAACTCTAATAATGATGCATAGGAAGAGGAAGTAATGCCGGATGATGGATTTTTTACGCGAATGGTACAACCAACATAGCTTATTTGCTCAATCCATGTAGTAGGGATTCTCTCCGATCAAGTGGAAACTCTCATTTACATATCTGCAGTTAAGTTAGCTAGTACTAATGATATTTTCAGGCACTTTTTGCTGGTGTAATTCTCACACATCTCTGGGTGTGCTTCATGGCTGAGTTATTGTCCTGTCACCATGACCAAGTGCTTCTGTTTCTTTACTCAAAGGCTTCCCTTATACACCGTATAGGGGCTGTTCAAATTTCTTCCTGCTTAGAAATGAACTTTGTTATATATTTAGTGGTTGCAATTCCTTTCTTGTCCATATACATTTACTGTTACTTGGAGAAATACATAGTTATTGTAATGGTCACATGCTTTTCTCCAAGTACTTTATGTTATTTAGGGATAAGAAGTACTAACAGGGAAAGGACAGAGATGAAGGGATAAATCAAATGCTGTACAAGTAAATCTTCTATTGATTGATAATTACAAGTAGCCTGCATAATTTACAACTAGTAATTACCAGCACAGTGAGCAGGCCTCTACTGTTTTAACATTGCTGAAAAGTTCTGTGTGATTTTGTTTGACAAATTAGTCATAATTCTTGATGGCTATAAGCATCACCTTGCTACATCTTTTTTAGAGTTGATTGTGAATCTAGTTTCTTGCATCATTGAAAATGTTATAGACTAATAGCAAAGAGTACTGAGCTTTGTACAGAGGAAAGGGTAATAGGAAACATAGGGTAGAGATACTGTAAATAAGATTCTACATAAATGAAATCATAGACATTTAACTGAATAGACATGGAACCTATATCAATTAAGTTTGTGTCAGGGGAATATGATCAGTACATATGCAACATAGGTAAAACTAAATAAAAGCTTTGGAAGGGATTTTGTAAAGGGTCTATCAATTCAAGAATCTGAAACAAGGATAGTATTTTTAGGGGGATGCATGAATGAAATGAATTTGCAGAGAGGAATTGGATGTTGGACCTATTCTTGGTTTGCAATGACATTTGATGTTGTAATAGCAAGAATTTACCATTGCAAGCTGAGATGACTTCTAAGTGGATCAAAGAAGACTGATAGAGTCTAGTAACAAAGCAAATGCCGACGGTCTGCTCCTGGATGTTTATCATAAGATGGCCAAGAGATGGTGGAAATGATGGGCTAAGAGTTGATAGTTTTT